ATGAAGGGCTAAGTAAAATCGAATTGGAATTGGAATCGGAATCGAAAAATTGGCAAGAACAGATTGATTCGATATGCTGTGATTCGTTTGATTTTTTCGTGGTTTAGTTTTGTCTCGGTTTCATTTAAAAAAAAAAATTGTATTGATTGTGGTTGGGTTTTCTAATAAAGTGCATTCGTATTAAATCGTGTTGTGATTTTTATTAGTTTATTATTTTATTATATAGCATTTCCTTTAATTGGTTTTTTAATAATTTTTATTTTTTTTAAGAAAAAAAAAGAAGGAGAGCGTAAAAAAATACAAAAAAATCCAAATCAAGATTGAATATTTTTCCAATTTAGTTTGATTTCATTCAATTTTTTATACGTTGTTGTGATTGGTTCACTCTCTAATTCTTCATAAGTTTTAAATTCTTTATTTTTTATGGTTCGATTCGTTTTTACACTGAACAATATCGTTGCTCTCTCTGGCCTCTACATGCATGTGATTGTTAAGTTTGTGTAATGTTCATTTTGTTGACTTATTTGGTCCAATCTAATTTGTGAGAAAATTTAATAAAAAATCAGAGCAAATTAATTTGGCTAATAATTTTTACCTTTCATTACAATTTATAGTCAATGCACTTTATCACACGTTGGATATTAATTACTTCGTTAATTATATCAAGAATCTTGTAGTGACTTTGCTTTCTGTTTTATCATGTTTTCTTTTTCTTTGGCCCCTTTTTACTCTCTTTATAGTCTTTTGCCGCCCTTTTCTTTTCTTTTTTCATGGGGACGTGTATATGATATTATATTACTCATTCTTCTATTTTGTTTTTTTCCTTTTTCCCTCTTTTTATTGCAAAACAATTTGTTAATATAATTTAATTATTAGCACCTTACATAAAAATTAAATATATTACACACAAAATAATCCAATTCACTTATCTTACAAAATAAAGATAAAAAAAGAAAATTTTCCAGTTATTAACATAATTAATCTTGTGCAGCCTGAAATCTTCAAGAGACTCTATATCGTCCCAAAATTCGCCGGAGGCCGCCAGTGGCACGGTGGACAACACCAATTCTCCGGCGGAAGAAGATGATTTTCTTTCATGGCTACCGGATTTTGGCTCGGGTTCCTCATCGAACCATCTCATATCAAATTCAAATTATTTCATAATTTTCGAGTCAACAATTTTTCTATTATTCTTTTTTCTTCAATTATAGAAGGAAAAACCACTGAAAATTAATGCCCAAATTAATCCATTTATTCACGTACATTGCTAGCTAGTGATTTTATTCATCTCATTTGTTAGCAAGGACCTGGTGGTTGATGGAAACTGATGAATTTTTTTTAAATTTTTTTTTGTATTTTTTTTCAAGGTCATGTGTATATATAGGATCATGTAACATAATTTTGTTTGCATTATTTTGCTTTTGATGAATGAATATTTGGATTTATTTATTTTCTTTCCTTCTTTAAGGTTGTGAATTAGCAAAACTCAGATAAATAATTCATTATAACTCTGATGAAAATTTTAGAGGATTATAATTGGCTTTGTTATAATGACTTGCAATTTATGAAGACTGCAGGCCAAAAAAGGTTTTTCAATTACAAAGTTGAAACAATAATTTGGACACCTTTTGAAACATACAAAAAAAAGGCTTTTTCTTGTAAGAATAAATATACTTATATATATCCCTATGAATAACATGAATTTCTCCCATCAACATGTTCTAAATTGCATTATGATGTTTTTATGTGTGTTGGAGTAGAACACCAAACGCAGCGGACAAAAATATCCCTCTAACAAATATGTTAAGGACTATTTCAAACGAAAATAAGCCAACACAAATAAATAAAAGAGAAGAAATAAAAAGAACACAAAAATTGATAACGGAGTTCGGCGAAAATAGCCTACGTCTCCGAGCACCGCCAACCGCAACGCCAAATTTACTAAACTCACCAACAAAATACAACTATGGTAAATAACCCACAAATTAGGATTTCCTTAATTAAGGATTTCCTACCAAGAGAAGAGAAAATAGAAAAATGTGCAATTGTAACCCAAAGGCAAGGGACCTATTTATACTAATAAGATCCTACACATTTTTGTTATACAAACTTAATCAAAAAACTAACAATGTGAACATAGAGAGAGAGAAAACAAGGCAAAAAAAAAAAGTTCTAAAATTATCTTTTTATCTATTCATATGATTTATATATACATTACAAAATATATATTGATAACGACTTAAGAGCTAGGCATATATATTCACAGATAAATTATTTATATTATAAATCACGTTTCTGCTAAATCACATTCAGTCGCCTCCCTTGAAAATCGACCCTTTATAAATAGTTATAAACTTTATTTTGAGTTGAGAGCAAATTTTACTAATTGGCCCTTTAAAATTCATTTTTCATTCTTTTGTTCTAGGTAGTTAAGTGTTTAAAATATTAATATTAATATACATAATATCTCAATCAATGTCACAATGCATAATAAAAAATTAACTATTAGACATAATATCATTGCACGGTCTATATACATGAATTGGTAGAGTTTGTTATGAATCAGTTCTAACTATTAGACAAAAGTATTTTTTTTAATCAAATATTATAGTTATTAAACAGCATAAAAGAATGCAATTACAATATAAAATAAAGATTACATTACACCCCTAAGGACTCATCAAAATTAACTTTGTCTAATTAAATTGCAAATAAATCCTTCACAAAAAGCTTTCATTGCCTATGGAGAATCTCAAGCTAATAAAAACGTTGAGGACGTTGGATAATCTAGAAAACTAACATGTTACCCTTCTATTGATACACTTGTCTATATATTTTCCAATACTTTTCTCTTATTTATTTTTATTTCTTCTCTTTACGTTATCTTCATCAAATTGTTTGTGCACCAATGCTAATGTTATATACCATTCATTTAAATATTAAAGTATGTTTGTCTGACGGTTAAACATTCCTGTAATCAGCATTATCATTTTATACATGTCTAGTCCATAAGATATTAGATATGGTACGTGTATTATTACAAGGAGAAAATTGAAAAGTGAACAAGAAAGTGAGGACCATGCAATCACCAAGATTCCTAGAATCACAATCCTTTTTTAAATTGTCTCCTTTCACGAATTCTTATCGGTACTTTGGTGTTTAGTATATTTAGAAAGGTTGCAATAAGTCCATTATATGATCGCTTGTCTTTGTGGTGGTTGTACCGAAGATGGGTTGGAGGAATCTCTTTTTCTCCCTACAGCTTTAATTTACTTTATTATGATCGGTAAAAAGTAGCTATATCTTTCTATGATAACACGGTTCAATAATTTTCCCAAAAAAAATAAAAAAAATAAAAATAAAAAATAAAATAAAAAAGAACAGTAAAGTTGTTCTTGGGTAGTTTTATTGTTTATGCATTTTACTTTTTTCAACAAATTTGTACGCTTTTTAATTGTTCTAAAAACAATATAATTATGCACTTTGGTTAAAATAGTATGATAAATCGACCAGACTAACTGTTAGACTATCTCAACTAACTAGTGAAATTAAAAAAGCTAGTACTGGGCAAGATAATCCTTTTGTTTCATTTAGTTTATGCTGCTATGTTGTTGAAGCATTTCTCTTAACACATTGCATTTCTCTTAATACATTCAGAGGCAAGTATATTAACTAGCATTTCTCTTAACACATTGCATTTCTCTTAATACATTCAGAGGCAATTATATTAACTAATAACTATACGTAACTAGTATTTTGTAAAATTGTAACCACTTTCAGGTATGTGTGGGAGTCGGCTGATGGATATACTAGAGGCAAGTATATTAACTAGCATTTCTCTTAACACATTGCATTTCTCTTAATACATTCAGAGGCAATTATATTAACTAATAACTATACGTAACTAGTATTTTGTAAAATTGTAACCACTTTCAGGTATGTGTGGGAGTCGGCTGATGGATATACTAATAACTATATGTTTTGTAAAATTGTAACCACTTTCAGGTATGTGTGGGAGTCAAAGGCTGATGGAGCTTTCGCCATTTCTGAAGATACATGGAATGAGTCTGAAATCATATTGTTTCGCCATTTCTGAAGATACATGGAATGAGTCTGAAATCATATTGCATCTCAGAGACGAAGCAAAAGAGTACTTGGATGAGTAAAGGTTTGCTAACTGCATATTTGTTAATTTTTCTGATGCTCAATACAAATATATAAATAAATTGAGTACTTGGATGAGTAAAAGTTTGCTAACGGCATATACTTGTTAATTTTTCTGATGCTCAATACAAATATATAAATACATTCACTTACTGTTTTTTCTGATGCTCAATTAATTGACACAAATATATAAATACATTCAACTGTGTGTGATTATGATCGACCATGATATGGATATCACTCTCATGTGCATAGTCCAAAATATTCTATATTTGTTTTCAAAAAATGTATGAAATTATCTAAAAATTTTTAAAATATTCTTGAAATATATGTATAAAAACTCCTAAATTAAATTGTTCTATGATAATGTTTTAAAATATTTTCTATACATCATGAAATATAACTTTCCTCAAAATTGTTTCAAGCACACACAACCCTTGTATTATTGAATGTATTATTAGATAATCTAATAGAAATGTTGACACACATTAAATTTTAAATCATGCATAATATATAACAATAGAGAAATGTTGACGTACTAAATTTTAAATCATGCATGGTATAAAACAATAGAGTGTTTTAATTATTTTTAGACGCAGCATAAATAATTAGGTATTTTTTAATAAAATTTAGTTGTCAACCACATAAAAAGTCTTGCACATTAACATCACATATCATTACTTGTTTATAATTTTCAATAATAATAATAATACGTATGGGAGCATTGAAAAAAAACATATTATTACTAATATATAATTTTCAATAATAATAATAATCATGTAAGCATTGAGAAAATTTATATAGAGCTAAAAAATTTTGTGAGAATGATGGTTTATGATAAAAATAACATTATTTTTTTTTCAGCTTCAAATTTATATTTTTGTATGTTTGTGTTCTAAGGGATTCCATTATGAAAAAAAATGTGTTTAATTATATTTTTTTATTAACTAATTATGATACACTACAATATAGATAACATTATTAAAGAAATTATATAAATAAATAAAAGCAATATATAATGTTGTATAAAAAAGTTTTAAAATATATTTTGAAACCTAAATATTGCATTTACAGAAAAATTTTCGTTTCCTTTTTCGTGTTTGATTTTAAGTTTTAACAAATCATACTGTGAAGGAAAATATACCATGTGTTAAGATGTATTCTGATGCATTCTATCTACACACGTGGTATTTAGAAGGCAATTGAGATTTTTAAAGATTATTTAGGACTTAAAAAATTCTGGTGTATTTAATTTAGACGTCTCAAGACTTTTAAAAGTCTTGAGGTATTCAATTGAGATTTTAAAAAGTCTTACAAAATCCTGAGATTAATTTAACGGTATATTCAATTGGGATTTTAAGTGACATTTGAAACTTTTTATGATTTGAGATTTTTTATGATTTTTAGATTTTGAAGGAAATCTATGAAATCTTAAGTGTGGAGGTATGATTTGAAGTGAGATTTCGTATAAGGTTTTTTGTTTAAAAATCTAATCAAATCTTAAAAAGTCTTAACAAATTCTAGTGTCAAATAAATTAAAACGTAATCTTTATTTTATATATTTTTTATTATAGTTATTTTATGTATGTATACATTTATTCTTTCGTTTTGTTATCTTCCACCTTCGGCGGATCTACCGGAGCACCCGATCTCTCTGCATTAGCTTGTATCTTCCTACCTGAACATCACAATTTCACCGAACAAAATTCAAAATCCATCAAAAACTACAATACGTTCAAACAAAAACATACATCATTCAAAGCTAAATTAAGCAAAATGAATGAAAAATCATTCGAAAAGTTACCTTGATCTGGAAGAAAAAACAGAAGGCACAGCAGAAATACTCAACTACTTGTATGGGCAATAATATATTAGTTCGATATAAATACACATAATAATTAAATTTATTGTATGATGGAAAAATTGGAGATTTAGTCTATAACTAATATCAAATTGATAAATAGTCTGGTGGTTGCTGTTTTTCATATTTTTGTTGTTATTTTCGTTTTTGGTTTGCTTATATCTTTTCTACCGTTTCAGGTATTCTCTTAATTTTTCGGTCCACCTAGTCATTTCTAATGCGTTTTATTTTATTTTAGTTTTTTGGTATTTTCTTTCGTTTTTCCCATGTTTTTTTTTTCTGTTTTTTTATTGGAGGTGTGTAGGTCCAGAACCTTGACTGAGCATCTAGAGTTCAACCTCATTCGACCCCGACAAGAAATAGAGTTTTTGATCTTCACGGCTTGAAGATGACATTTTCCTAAAGTGCTTTGATGTAGATGCTGGTCAAGATTACTGCAAACAATTGATGGATACATTTCTCTAGTGTCAATCTGTTGACCTACGGAAGTTAAGTCAATGGGTGGGGATATCTCTCCAAAGTAAAACGAAATATATATACAGAAATGAGGTCGGGTGCCCCTTTTTAATATGTTAATTCAACTCGGGTGATGTCGTACAATCGAGAGTTATTTTTAGGAAGTGAATATTTTCATGTCCCCTATTCCAATAAATGAGGGGTGTTTATAGTGCTCGACCTACGGATACTGATTACGAGGTCAGTACATCAACATTAAATGCGATTTGATGGTGATGTGCGGCTCTACAGGAAGAGACTCACTCCTAATTATCACCTTCGACAATACAATGGGCATGTATCCTGTCGACATTTAATGCATTGTCAGAGGTCGATTTTCACAGGATGTAGGTCGATGCATGTGGATGAGAAACCGAGAACTTTATACGAAGTTTCACTCAATACCGAACTGGTCAACTTTATATGAAAATGTCAAGCTGATCTGCTCATTCACTGTTCAACCTTTGAGGTCGGATGGAGGTCGTTCTTATACCACATGGAAGTTGTCAGTTCGGATGTCAACAATCTAAAAGAAAGTATATAATGAAAGTTTTAAAGGTTTTTTAATAGAATTTTATAAACATTCTACCGTGTTTATCAAAATCATTAAAATCTACCTAAATCGCCTAATTTTGAAAGTATTAAAAGTTCTTTAATTTTTTTTTTAATTAAATACGACTCCAATTTATAAGAGCGTCTCCAATAATATTAGATTACTCTATTTTGTTGACATGACACAAACAATTATATGTGATATAGAAAATGTCTATAAGTCTTTTTAAATGTAGGAGTCGATCTAATCAACTTTTATTATATACTATATTATATATTCAATTTATCTATCTTCTACAACCAATTACAATTTTATACAATTCACATTATACCAATCTATCATTATTAAAAAAAAAATAACCTTTTTACAAATTTAGAAACATTTTCCCGCCAAAATCATTAAATATATCCTATATATAGTAATTGTTGGACAAATCTGAATAGGCATATAAATTGGCTCATTAATTGTGTAAAGATTTGTTTCTCTTTTTCCTATTCTTTAGTTTATCAAAACCGTTGTTTGACAATAAATATTTGTTTTTCTTTTTTCTATTTTTAGTATAAATCTACACGAGCTTATCTTTTGTTGTTACAAATCCCATTGCATATGTCTTGCGTGTTTAAAAAATCTCATCCCTTATCTATACAGATTCGAAAAAATAAAATAAAATAGAAACCAATTCATAATTTCTATTAGAAATCAATTATCTTTAAAAAGAAAAAAATACAATAAAATAGAAACCAATTCATAATTACTACTAGAAATCCATTAACTACTTTAAGAAGCTAATTTTCATCGGTCTAATTACTAATATATTTACAAATATTATAAGCTAATCATACAAAAAAGTATAATAATAATTTTGAAATGGTGTGTAATCAAATTTTTTTTATATTCTCTTATATATAATAATTTTATGACCCGAAATCTTTAATTTATAATTATTAAGTATTGTTTATCCTCCTCTTTAATTTATAATTATTATTTTTTCTTCCTCTTTTTAAATAGGATCAATAGTAGTTTCCACTTTCGCCATTGAGTGACTCAAACTCGAGGTCTATTTATAATATTGTTAATTTAATATTGTTCGCGTGGCACGGGGTACACAGTGAACATTAACCATGTGACACAATATGCTAATTCCCTTTCTCAGTAAAATACAACTCAAGATATACAATGTTGTAACCCTCACAATAACAAACCTCATCAAAACCTTACATCAACCAACCAACCCAAACCATCTATTTTCTTCCCCCGACTCCCCAATTCCCTCCCGCCGGCAAACCCTATGCTATAGAAGCTTCCGCCGGACAATGTCGATTTCCAACGCGGTGGCCGAGAATCTGATGACGTCACTCTTCCTGGAGGTGATCGCCGCGTTGAAGGCCTACGGGATGGCCGCTGGGCGGAGCTTCAACGGCGTCTTGGTCGTCATCATCTCCACAGAGGTGATCCTCCAACTCTATTATTTATAGGTCTTAACGGGCAAGCCTTATGAAAATGACTCATTTAATATCTATGTCTGGTGCATCACACGAGCTACTTAACGGACAAGCTCTATAAAAGTTATTCATTTAATATTTGTCTTGTACATCGAACGGACTACGTACCAGTATGTTTGATCATACGATGAAAAAAAATCACTTTATTTCTATTTTTTTGTCTTTCAATATTTATCTCTCTCTTTTTCTTTTTTCTTTTTTTCTTTTTAAGTACTTGAATACACCCAATTTTAATTGGTCTTATTTGTTGCAGATTTAATGTATTGAAATTAATAAATAGATAAATTTACAAAGGAAAATGTTTTGTAGAATAAAAGTATAGTTTAGGTAGAATCGATTTTTTCAGAAGACATACTTAATAAAGTNAAAAAAAAACAACTTGCAGCATGATGATGTCTTTCCACGTAACGGGAAGATTCATGTATCGATATTATCTCTTGAGTTTTTTTTTGGGCTATTTACATTTGTACTGTGATTGAACATAAAAAATTGCAAGTTTACATGTTTTTAAAATTATTTGTATATGTATGGAAAACATAAAAAATTGCAAGTTTACATGTTTTTAAAATTATTTGTATATGTATGGAAGTA